TAATACTTAAAAGCAAAGTGCAAACAAACATTTCTCACTTAATATATATATATATATATATATATATATATAAATATATGTATATATACAGTCCCGGACTAAATTATTAGACACACTATAAGATTCTATGTTAAAATCTTACTTATCAGGTGATACTATACAACATTATTGTTTTTGCGCGACTGAAACCGGTTTGCACTTGTTTACGCTTGGGTACCAAATGGTTAAATAAGGCGATATATAATATAAATTCGACGATTGGATAAATTAGACAATATATTACATAAATATAGATTATTTTTCATATCAGGTATTATATTATAATAATTAGATCCAATTACTAGACGCACTTTAGTGTTTTAATAATGACATGTTTTGAACGAGTTTATAGGCAATACTTTTATATTTAAACATACATGTAATGGTTTTTTACTCAGGAGATATTTTGTATGCTTCCTATTTGCATTTATTTTTAACGTATTGCATTACAATGTTAACCGTTTGATACTCGAACGTAAACAAGTTCAAACCGGTTTCAGTCAAGTAAAAACTATAAAGCTGTAAAATATCACACGATAATTAAGATTTTACATAGAATCTTATAGTGCGTCTTATAATTTGGTCAGGGACGGTAAATATATATATATGAACTCTGTTGTCTAAAGTTGAGATTAAAACAAAAATTAAGAGGTTACATTTTCAACCATAAGAACCTTTTTTGCTACTTAACAATTTAGTGTTTTGTCTTGTAACTGCAAAAATATTGTAATTAACACGTTTTAAATTTTTACAGGATTGTAGCAATACATATTTAGAAATCCGCACCGACAACGATGAAGAATATAAATTCTGCAGAAGGGAGACATCATTTGTACCTATAACTGTTCTTTCAGACGTTGAAATTAAATACCATGCTTATTATGCAATGAGGTTTAATTTAGATTATGAAATAAGTAGGTTACCATCTTTTTTTATTAATTTATAAATACTGTATCTGTACTATTTAAGTAATATTAACACTACATAAATTATATCTGCATATATAATATTATAAATATAAGTTCAGTTAGTACTGTATATTATTAATTTATAGTCATACCTTAAGAAATTCTTAGAGGGAACTGGGCTTTCAATTGTATTTGTACTATATAAGTGTTACTTACCGTACGTAAATTATAACAGTGTATATAGTATTATCATAATTTTAGTTAGTGCTGTATATTATTAACTCATCTTCATATCTAAGATATGAAAATGAATTCTAATTCTTAGTGGGAGCTGGGCTTTCTTTTTACACATTTTTCCTTATGGCGCAGAAAATTTTAAATTTTGTGAGAAATTGTAGCTTGCATCAACTATATTAATAAAAAGAAGACTTTACTTTTTTTTAAAAAGGGAATGAAGTTTTACTGAAGATTGAATAATTTCTTACCGCTTTAATTTTTTGGGATAATTTATTTATTACTCGGTGTGTTATCAAGAATGAAAGTGGATCAAATGTGAGGGCTACAACATCAAATTAGTATTCCTAAATTAATGCTAAGCAAAATTGGTCGATTTTAGCAAATTATGACAATAAGTTGCTATCGATGAATAGCATCATATACGGGGCCAATCCAAACTGAATATAGCTAATACATACACTAATTTAATTTTTATTTGTTGATCTGTGGAGCATGTTTTGTTGAATTGAGTAACGTTTAGTCACCAAAGTAGGCAGCTAATAATAATAAATACATAATACTGAATTATCTTAACCTTATTAATGGTGTCAGAATGTGCCATTATGTTTAAGCACTGATTTCATTATATTAATTAATACTGATGTATTAGAATTTATTTTTTTGTACTAGTTAAATACCCATTCTGCGTAAAGAGTTAAAGAAAGTAAATATTCAATGTATCGATACTAATTAACACTACGGAAACATACATTAAACTAAAAGGCATATATCAACATAAATTATAAAGCTAATACAATTCGAAATGTTATTAATTGTTATTTTCTGCACCTCCCGTGACTTTGTGTTAGTGTATAATACTTTTTAATGCATAACTTATTTTTTCAATTCAATTACCGTTAGCTTTAAATTATTTAGATTTCTAGAATCGCGTTTTAAAACCCGTAACAATAAACAAAATAAATAAATATTTTCTGATAAATTTAGAATTACTAAGTAACTAGCCGCCTTTGGTGACCAGTTGCATAGTCACCTTTCAAACTTGATTGCACAACATATAAATTTTATTGATAACCAAATGAATACACAGCACAACTGTATTTAAATATTCTAATTCTTATGCTCTCCTCCAATTCTGTCACCTTAATTAGTTTCAAACAATATATTAAAAAAATTTTCACCGACTGCTGTTGCCCGCGCGGAAGTGCTTTGATTTCAAATTTAATTAATTTCAAAAGAATGTTTGCGATGTTATCAAAGTTCTTTACGAATAAAATTTTAGTAATTATTTTAAATCTATCCAGCAGCCATCAAATGGCTACAGATGAGTTTAAATCACCTAAACTACTGTAAGTATGATTTCAGCATTGTAGACAACAAAGATATTAAAATTCTTTCCATCTTAGTCGTGAGATATGATTGAGAATTTCAAACCCAACGCTCAATTACTAGCAGTACTAACTCCTCACGCGTTTCTCGAATCATAGCTTGAGTATCATATAATATATTTATGCTATTACTCGCAAAAAAAACAATCTCCGTCACTAATAATTGGTATGACAGTAAGCAACACCATTCCATCGGTTTGAAGTTTCTACAGTCATTTTAGAAAGACAAAATTATTCTAAATAATGCTTAACTTATGACTAATTATTCAACGCTCTTTAAATTATTTAAGACAACCTGACAAAATGAATATAACTATAGTATATTCATTTTGCCAGGTGTGTAATAGTGTACTAATAGATAGAGAGTGGTTCGTAAGAGTAATATATTTATAGATTTGTGACATAGCTCGCACATCGCACTATAACGAAACTCTCTCTCTCTCTCTCTCTCTCTCTCTCTATACCGCGAAACCTGCCAAGTTGACCACCCTTGTAAGTTGGGCACCTGCATAAGTTGACTTCAATTATCAAGAACGGAATTTTTCCTATATAATATAAAGANATATATATATATATATATGTAGGATCACTGTTTACCCATTGGTTAAATGTTTTTTCTTTCCAGATTAACTCTGTTAAACACTACAACATTTCAAATCATGGGTTGCAGAAAACTGTCTCAATTTCATGTTTGTCGTCGGATTGGTTTTCGAATCCTGCCTATGCACGTGTTTCAAGAGATCACAAAAGATTTTTCCTTCTTCAGCATTCATATTTATATTAAAATCACCCTCAAGACAATAATTATAAGTTAATAATAAAAAGAATATAAAAATACTTGTAAATACATTAAAAATGCCTGCTAGTGAAAATAAAAATAAAAACAGCAGCTGTCGCCTTAGCAACGCATGCAATGACGGCGCATGCGCACTGTTTACTATTACTCTTGAACACAGCTGAAAAGTGTGAGGACACCATCAAATCCAAACCAAAACCCCTTTTGCTAATGGGTAATAAAAATTATTCAAAACGCTTCTGTATAAAATTTCTAAATTATTTCAAATTAATTGTATGTAGTCACAGCTAATACTTTTGTTACAGGACACGTTGAATGCTCTCGTTTGAACAGTTTCCAATGCACATTTCATTCCTGTATTCCCAAATCACGTGTTTGCGATGAGGTTATAGATTGTTTAAATGGAGCAGATGAGGCTGGCTGCGGTAATCATTTTATTTTAAAAAATATTTCTAAAATACTTTTTTTTTATATTACGACATTATGTTAAGAACGCAGAAAAAAATAATCACTCTGAATAACTTTTGATCTGACCAGCTCACGATTTCCAGCACTTTGCGGTAGAAAATACTAATGATATTAGTCATATCCTGCGTGTTTTTTACTAAAAAAGTTTTACAAAAAAAGTTTTGCACATAATTGAAAATCCATTTACCCAAGGATTGTTCCAGACAAAAAATTATTTACAATAATCATTTATGATTTTTTATTATTTTGCTCAATAATAGTCTAAAAAATTTGTTCTATATAAATTCTTAGATCAATGAAATGAAATTTTAGGAATCAAAATACAAAACCTGAACTAGATAGGTGTAACACTTCCTGAGAAATCGAATTTTTGAAAATTGACGTAGTTAAAGTTCGATTTCTCAGGAACTATTCATCCGATGTTGTTCAAATTTTGTGATTTGCTGTAAAAATTTACTTTCTTTAAAATGATTGAAAATTTTGTATGCGTTACAATTCAAGTTTTACCCGACTAATAATAAAGAAAATAATAAAAGACAATAAATAATTATCAAATTTTTTTTTAAATTGAACTATCTTTGAACAATCGAATTTTAAATTTGCGTGCAGAAATTTATCGCTTCTCTTAAACGATGCTTAAGATATGGCGAAATACGCAAAAAGTAAAATTGACATTAAAAACTCAAACTTAAGTCTGCCGTACAATTTACTGGGACGATATTTTCCAAATATTTTGTAGGTCAGAAATCCACATCCTGAAATCGACATTTTTATTCAGAAAAAGTAAATTTTTGGGTCTGATTTCGTAACTTAAAATATCGTCTGCACTAATTAATTCGCATATTTGAGGTTACCCCCTCGAAGCACTAAAATGAGTCCTAGAACGTGAAGATACGGTCATTTGATCAAAAGTTATTCAGGATTATTCAGGTCATTTCAATCTTGACAAGGACTATTAAAATACATATTTAGCGTCTTGATTACGAAGCATTCTTTTTTTCTATACTAAGGGCGATGATTACAGAACACCCTACTTATCCTAACAAATTTTCATATCAATTTTCAGCTACTGGAATTTATAGTGTTGAAGGTATTGATGAAGCTCGTAAGAAGTCCATCGCTTGGCTGAGAAGTAAAAAATCTCCTTTGAAGGGTTGGCGAGAAAACACAGTGAGAGCCATAACAGCCTTGTACTTGTCTGAAAAGTCTACCTTCAACAGCCGAAGACTAGAGGAAGAATTAATGGCAAAACAAATAGAGCTGGAGACTGCAGTGTCATTGTTAAAGTATGATTTGAATGTTTTTATCATTGTTTATTAATTCTTTTGTTACGAGGCGAAATGCCGTGTGTGTATATGCGTCGTACTTAACCGATTTCAGCGGGATACCTTTTGATACCAGTCCTCCCAAAGGTCAGCCAAAACTTTTCTATTGGTAGCAGAATTTATACTCTGAAATACACATCGTAAATCGGTTATTAAATCTTGATAACTACAGCGGTTTTAAAGCTAATTACTTGCATAAAAGTCTATTACATGCTAAATGAAAGTTATTTAATTTGAAGTGGTTGCGAAATTAGGTATTCTTCAAGTTCCTTTGAAGAATTGTTTGATGTCGTTGCGGTGGCCCATGTTTGCCAAAATACAGCGCTACTTATTATTAATTTCTAATTAGTTTATTTTTATTATTTTATTAATAAAACACTGGGTGGCAATTTCTTTCTTCTTTGATGCGAAGTACGAAAATAAATACACAATTATTTTTTCCTGTGTTTTTAGTACATCACTTTAAATCAATTTATAAGTAAATACAAGAAAAAGTAAGCTATTTAATAGTTTTAAAGTTGAATTGCTTTTTGTGACTGCCTCCTCGTGATGTTGCTTCTCAATCTCACTTACACATATCGGGATCCTGCACACACTCGACTGCTAATAGTAATACAGGAGAGACTACACACGTACACAACCGTGAACTTAATACAGCTCTCACGACAAACGATCAAAAAGTCGGTCAAACTTAATGCAGCTCTAATTTTTGCTTTTTAAAGAAATACTACGTGCAACGAGAACTACATTCACGTCTCTTTCTCTCTCGTTCTTGTTTACCAGTGGCGCCATCTATGGAAAAGAATTCGAGTTCTGCCACACCAATACGTGACACTCGTTTATAGGGAGGACCCATTCACACATCCATTCATTCATCCACTGAACGTAATTTTGTCCTGATTCAGAGAACGATCAGTCTGAAATCCGGTACCCCCAAAAGTATTGATTTGCATGGAAAAATGGAGGACTTTGTGACTCGACATCAATTTAACGTGCGTCGTTCACCATTTACTACACGGGTAGTCTTCGGTAGGCGGGGTTCGAACCCACGAACTCTCGGACATGGGTCCAGCGCCCTATCGATTAGGCTATCCCGGCAGTTAGTTTACGTGCCCACTTTCACGTAGTTTAAGAAAGTCAAAACGGAATCAAATTTGGATGATATTTTTCAGCTTATGAGTAGAGCAAGCTTTGGCTGATTTTTTTTTAAAAGAAAAAGCAAGATATAAACATTGTATTATTTAAGTGCTATTTTTTTATTTATGCATATGTTACATGATAAAATGAAGATTAAAATATGTACAGTAAGATAAAAAAATGCATTAAGTTTAGCAAAATCTGTGATAAAATTGTCTGATTCAAGATCTTCAATTTCCTCGAGGACTTGGGTGTTTACATATTTCCTTAGTTACATGTTTCTTCTTTACATATATTGTGCATATTTCCTTGTTTATGCAGTAACTAATGAATAATTTTGATTAGTTTTTGTTTCATGTCATCAATTGAAAGTCATATGCATTTTCACATTATTAAAGCTTTTAAATTTTAAGAAATTTTGTCTGTAACAAAGTTCAAAAAAATGCATTTCAATGATTAAAGCAAAACAAAAAAAAATTACACTTGAGGTTCTTTCTACAATTGAAAAAAGGATTCTACCTTTGAGAAATTTCGAGACAAAACCCGCAGTTTGCATAATTACAATATAACACATAGAATTAAAGTAGTTACTAAGCATTAAAGTATAAAAAATTTATAAATCAGAGATTTAGTTAATTTATGATGGCGTAAAAGCACCTTTAAATAAATAATCTTAAATAGTTACTGAATGAATTATCAAAGTCTGAACATATAGTTCTTTGTATGTTAACAACGAAGAAGTATATATTTCTTCTTCATTTTGATAAGGAATCTTAATATGTTGCGTTGTATTTTAATTCAGAGGTTCAGTTTCTAACCAGTTGCTGAGCATGCACATCAACGCTCTTTTGTTGACCTGCCAAGATCCTCGACACTTTTATGGAAGGGATTTGGTCAAACTTCTCAAGGACCAGGTTGAAAAGTCTGGAAACTTCACTCACCCGTCTGCTTACTTGGCCCTCTGCAATGCGAAGGAGGAATGGCCACACAGGTCGACATCAGATATCATTTCCGTATTGAACAGTGATTCTGAATACAGTTTTATTGGAGGTAAAAACAAGCATTGATCTTGGTAAAAAAAAGGACAAAACATTAGTTTGAGAAATATTGATACAATATTAGAAAGCAATCCTATTTGTGGATTTAATCGTGTGAGCTGATGAAAAGATTATATCTCTCATTTTCCGGATTTTTATTAATTTTTCTTTCTTTTTCTCTTTTTTCATTGCTCTGTAATTTTTTCCATGTTTTCTCTGCATTTTGAAGTTATATTTCTCTACTTTATGTAAGTAATTTCCACAGATGAGGCACAAGTTGGCTTCTTTTAAGTTTTATTTAACATCTTATGATAAATTCTTAAAGACTAGGTTTCCTTAGCAGGGTCTTGGGGTTTGGTCATTCGGGCATAGCTTTGCCCGAATAGCCATTGAAAAAGCTCCGCCTTTTCGATGACTTCCGCTGTTTAAACAGGGATTCCGACCACAGTGCTGACATGAAATATCCTCAGTGGTAGACTGGTCATGGGTTTGAGTCCCCTTCCAGTCAGGCTAACCGTGGGTGGTTCTCGTGCTCTTCCTCTCCATGCAACGCAAATGTGGGTTAGTTCCATCAAAAAGTCCTCCACGAGGGCAAATCTCTCCCGAAGCTACAGGAGTTTCCTTGTCTTCTAGATTGGGTTGAAAATTACGAACTTAGGGAATTGAACATTAGTAAACGTACGGCTGTTCAATGACGGTTATAGAAAATAGTATTTATTTGAATAGAGATGATTTAAGGATTAAAAACTATTAGCTAAAAATTATTAATTTTGAAAATTTATTACACTTTTCATAATTAAGCAAGCAAATTTCAAAACATGCCTGACTGATTAGTAACAATAACTAAATATTTGTTTGAATTGTTTGCAACTTTTTAATTGTAAACTTGATTGAACTCCAATTAAAAAGTTCAGCTATTAAATTTTAAGGCTAAAGAACTTTAAAATCATTAAAATGGACGTAATTTAGTTTCTCATAATATGCTTACCACCAAAGAATTTTGCATAATTCTTGCTAACTAGTGAGAAGAAATTTAGTAAATAAATTTATATAATTAAGTTTTAAGAATCAAAAAAAATTTAGTTAGTGAGTAAATATAATTTTATGACTGTAATAACCCTAAAAAAATTATTCACTATCATTACCAGCTTCGACAGAATTCCAGAATTTAAAACAGCTTATTTTGAGTAAAACATCATTTTGCAGATTTTCAAGCATTTGCTGTGATGGCTGTTGCGTGTTACAACGAAACAAAGTTTTTAAATAGAACTGAAAGTGCAGATTTGTTGTCTGTGTACCAAAATACTATCAAAGGTTTCAAAGACCATCAACTTTCAGATGGAAGTTTTGGGAATGTCCATGCAACAAGTCTCATTACTCAAGTAATATACATTTTTGATCTTAAATATTTTTTCATCACTGAATTCAAATCTGCATTCGGTTTCATTTTTAAAAAAAAAATTACTCTATTTTTTTGACAAAATGTATAAGTTTAAAATCGTTATATATAACACAGGATTGCATAGATGTTGCGACAAACTTCTAGGGAAGTTAGGGCACATCATCAGGATTAAAACTGCATAGAAACCCATTCTTGAAATTATCATCATACGCCGCTAGGGGCTCTTCTTTATTATAAATTGTTCCCTTCTGTGCTTTTGAGCTGGTCATGATTGTGGAAACTTATCGAGCAGCGTACGAAGACTTTTCCACCATGGTTCTTTATACAATTTTATTCCTGATGATTCCCCTTAACTCCCCTATAATATTAGTCGCAACACTTACGCGACCCCTGTTATGTAAAACCTATTTTTAAAATTATAAATTTCGACACACAAAAACTAAAAATGTCATTTGAAAGAAATCGGTAGCGTTAGGAGAATACTTATTTCAGATTCAAAATCTCCACACTCATATTAAGCAAGATCAAATATTTGTATAAATGCAACAAAAAATTTGATCCCAAGTGTAATTCAATTTTAATTGATGAAAGCCTTTTATTTGCGATACATAATTTTTATGAAGAAAAAAAATAACGCATGGTAAAAAAGACACACAGAGATTTCTTTATGAGTTTTACGCTATCTATCACTGAAATTTTTCATCACCCTATCAAAGAATGTCTTGCAATGGTGTGTGTGTTACTGTTATAGAGATAAATGTTTCTAATGTTTCATGATAAATAAAGACTTTGATCAAAGACTTTTTTATGTATAAAAAAAATTAGTTTATTGTAATTTTAAACTATGCATTGTTTAATTATTATTTTAAAATTATTTTTTTTTCAACAAATAAAAATTAAATTAAAGGAAAAATAAACCAAAATAAAATAAATAAAAACAATTAAAAAATATGTAATTTTTTGTACCCGACAAACCGTTATGTTTGAATGTTAATTACTGCATAAAAAAGGATAAAAATCAAACAGAACTTAATAAACGTTAGGATAACTGTTTTCAAAGCAAATATATTCTTAATAACCAATAAAAACGAACCTCATTCAGCAAAAACACACCGGAAATAAGGAAAAGGATTCAATACCTTTGAAAAATTAATGTAACGGCTGAAACTAGTTCTTTCCCTAAGGTATACAAACGAAATATTTGATAACTATAAAATGTGTCCTGCACCTACTCATATATATTTATAGAATCTTTGTAAAAGTGTAACAGAATAAAAGAAAATCAATGGGCAGTGTACTAAATAATATTCAGTGTGAAAAAGTTTTATAAAAATCTGACGAATTATTATCGAGATATATCAGAGCAAACGTTCAGCTGAACTAATTAAAAAATCAGTTTTTTTATTTATCGTTCCCCATTGAAAATCTTCAAGTAAGCTTGTTTTTAAAGATTTCAAACTCTCCTAATCTCTGATTGACCAATCTAATGACTGTCAAATTTTATAAGTTCTTTTTATGCTTCGCTTTACAAATAATATATATCCTTTTAATCTTTGTTTTTATATCACCATCTCATTATAAACATTTCACTAATTACGGAGCAAGCTGTATATTATATCACGTTTTTTTTTCATGTCATGGCTTGAATTTTTCGTTTTTAGAGTCTATTGGCAAGTGGTCAAGAACACGTTAAAGACTGGAAGCTGAATGCAACACTCAAGTACCTGATGAAGGAATTGGAGAGTCCCGATGCTGATTTCCTTGCTCACTACCTCACACTTCCGATTTTGAATAGAAAAACTTTGACGGACATTGCTAAGTTCAACTGTTCAGAAAAAACAGCGGATCTAGGAGGTGAGTATTAACCAATTTGCTTTAGGACACCAGGTTAAAAATTACAACCTGCATTCTTCATTTACTCCATAGAGATGTCATCATTAATCCTGTCTTAAACATATAAAAATTTGACTCTTAGGTTTAGTTGCCTTTTTTTATTAATTTAACCCATTGCACTCGAGGTCTTTGCAATGGTTAAGAAAACAAAATCAACCAGTAAAAGTTTATCAGATAACATGAAATGATAAAAAATGGATATGGGGGAAAATTCCTGTTCAAGAATTTTAACAGTTGTTATCCACATATAAACTTCTTCCCTATTTAAAACAATCTCACGTGATCGTGCGCGCATGCGCTTTCAGGGATGTTTTTATATAAATGCTTAAATAAGAAAGGTAATTATAATCATGTAAAAGCTGTGAGTGGATCCTTGTTGTAGATCCTTGCAACTTTCTATATTTTTTCAACAAAATGTGTACACGCGAGCACATATTTTGATGAAAACGATTTAAATCACTTCAGAACTATGATCACACATTCGTGATTGCCCGATCTTCGTTTACGTCAGTAATATTTCGCAGGTTCTTTTTCAGA